AGTTTCTAATGGGATTCTAACTCGGAGCCCACAGCGACGGCGGTCCCGATAAAGGAAAAACAGCGAAACAGCTTCTGTCTCGCCCCTGCGGCGGCTCGTCTCCTCGTGTCGAGATCGCAGCCCGCGCCGTCAGCCGCCGGCACAGCCCCCACGCTTAGCAGGCAGGCGAATGCTTAGCGAGGCTTTAAAAAGGAAAACCCACAGAGGAAACGCAGGGCCTGACACAGCTGAAGGCAGATAAGCTCTGCAGATTGGCCAACCTCTGAGTGTTGCAACGCTTCTGAACAACAAGGCCGACAGAAGTCACTCTCAAACGCTTACTAAGCATAAACAATCTCAGGAGTGTGAGTATTATTCCCCACTCACAGCAAAGTCACAACAAGCAAGAGCACTCTTGGAGAACGCATGCGTCACTGTGACTTTGACATCACTGATGGATCCAGTGAACAGTCCTCCAAGAGACACAGAGCAGACTGGTTATCGCGTCCACGCATCTCGAAAACCCCTGCCATCGGGAACAGGAAAAGATGACCAGTAATGTTTTCAATCGAAACGTTAATCAACAAGACACCTCATATTTATCGGGGGGGGGGGGGACATGTGATATTTCATTTTCTCCAACCAAACCTGACCAGCTGGCTCAACCCTGCCAGTGGTGGGGCTGGGGTTCACTGTCCAGGGCTCTCTCTCAACGCCATGTTTGATAGAGCACCCCCTACAGGTCCTGTGGGCTACTGCGGATGGTGGCGTTGTTCCCCACCAATGTCGCACATCAGGTGGGTAAGGAATGAGAACCAAGTGGGAATTTCACCAGCGTGTTCAAGGGACCGAATTCACCAACTGCTCAAAAACAATGTTTTATTAAATAAGACACCTCCCCATAATAGGTGACGAAACTTTGCTTCTGCAGCACATTAAATCAGAACTCATCCTGCTGCTGTGAAATGTTTATTTTTTTTTTACAATACGCGTGCCTGTGTAAGATCACCGAATTCACCAACTGCTTAAAAATAATGTTTTATTAAATGAGACATCTCCCTTAAATAAATGACAG